GTTTAGGGTTTAGGGTGTCGAACACAGCATAGCAAGAATCCCTACTTTCAACCATAAAGCCCTCTGAAGAGGCCATAAACTCTATACATCATCTTTTCTTTGAGCGTCGTACACTGTACACGTCGCCCACAACAGCATAGGCCTCTACATTAGGGTCCTTTTTTAGGTCCCCAAAGTAGCCCTGTAAGAAGGACCCTCAAAAGGGCCATGATTTTGAGAACTAGCCCATATGCATAAACTAGAGGCCCTCAACCCTATAAATCCCTAAACCCTGAACTCAGGAAGCAAGGAGCTCTATACTAGAAACCCTCAGCCCTCTAAACCCTAAACCCTGAACCCTAAACCCCATCCCTAAACCCTAAACCCTAAACCCTCGACCCTCTAAATCCCTAAACCCTGAACTCCGGAGCTCTATCTGCGTGGGCCCCGGCCACCCCAAAGAGTTGGTTCGCCAGCTCCGTGAGGCTCTGAGGCCCACCTGTCGCTTCTTTGAACTGCTTTTGGGTGCTCTGTTTAGGGGTTTAGGGGTTTAGGGTTTAGGGCTTGGAGTTTCGGATGGCTCGGGGCTCCTTTCACGGGATCGATAATAGATAGGGTTTACTTTTAGGGTTATCCGAGGATTTAGGGCTTATGGAAAGGTCTGAAGCCTAAGCTCTAAACCCTAGTGCCCGAAAACCCCAAACCCCAACTCCTGAACAATGAGCCTTAAGCCTAAGCCCCAAACCCCAAGCCCAACATCGTGGCATAAACAAATAGAATAAGAAGGGCTTAGGGCTTAATATAGGGGCCTTAATAATTAGAATAGCGTTTTGGGGTTTAGGCTTCTATATTAGGGTTTCTAAGGTCTTGGGGTGATATTCTCCAGTGATTTTTCAGGGATTCTTTTCGTGCATATTCAGGCCCCAGGCAGTGCAACCCCGTGACACACCCCTGCAACACCCTGTTTGTTAAGCACTATAAAAAAAACCGTTAGAAGCGCCCTAGTAGACCCGAGACCCTAAAACCCACACTCTATGAACCCTAAACCTTATAAACCCCAAAACCTAAACTCTATGAACCCTAAACCTTATAAACCCTAAAACCTAAACTCTAAGAACCCTAAACCTTATAAACCCTAAAACCTAAACTCTAAGAACCCTAAACCTTATAAACCCTAAAACCTAGACTCTATAAACCCTAAACCTTATAAAACCCTACAGACCCTGAGCCCCTGCCCGCCTGCATCTTCGGGAGAGTCTGGTTCCTCCCAGACACGACTTTGGGGTTTCAGGCTCGTTTCAGGTTCAGCAGCTCAGGCGTGGGGTTTAGGGTTTAGGGTTTAAGGTTTAGGGTTTAGATAGTTCCTTACGTATGTTTGTAGGGTCGGCACGTAGACCCGAATTTGATTTGGCACTGCAAGGATTTACAGTGTCGTAGCTTTGAAAAGTTTGGTCCCAAAGACAAAGACAAGGTTTCTTGCGAGCCCTAAAATAGAGGCATAAAGCTCCGACACAGCCCAACAAGTCAGCCGGAGAGACCGAGATCTACAGTGTAACACCTATAGACAAACACGATTAGGTAATTTGTTCATATAGACAAACACATTTAGGTAATCACTTTATATGACTCGAACTACAGCGACCACTAAAGCCCTTAGAACCCTAAACCCTCCTAAACCCTAAACCCTAAACCCTCCTAAACCCTAAACCCTAAACCCTAAACCCTAAACCCCTCAAGCGAGAGCCAAGTCTTCAGCAACCCCCCGGTTTATGCGCGCTGCTCCTCCTCCACGTTGACTTCCGGGGTCGCCCGTAGCGCAAAAGCCTGGGTGAGAGTTTGGGGGTAGGGTTTAGGGTTTGGGGTTCAGGGTTGGGGGTGGGGTTTAGGGTTTAGGAGATTAGGGTTTAGGGTAACAGTTTGGGGGGTAGGGTTTAGGGTTTAGGAGTTTAGGGTTTAGGGTAAGAGTTTGGGGGTAGGGTTTCACCGTAGCTCCAAAACTTACGGTCTTGACGGCCTAAACCCTAAACCCTAAACCCTAAACCCGAAACCCTAAACCCTAAACCCTAAACCCTAAACCCTGAACCCTAAACCCTAAACCCTAAACCCTGAATCCTAAACCCCCTGTTCTTTGAGGGGTCATGGCTTGCTCTTCCGTATCGTCGAGGCTTCAGGGCTCCCCTGAAACTCCAAAAATCCTGCATTTTCAGCTTAGGGGCTGAGTACCCTAGCCCAAAAAAGGTTTAGGGTTTAGGGTTTAGGGTTTAGGGTTTAGGGTTTAGAATTATGGTAGGATTATATAAACCCCAAAAGGTTTAAGGTTACCTACTCAGCCACTAAGTCAGGGTTTGTTGCTCATGACCTCGCGGCGGAAGACGGCGGGGTCTTCGCGGTCGTTGCATTCAGTGGCGTTGAAACTGGAAGGGAGCTCTATGTGCCGTGGCTTAATGTAGGGGCCTCAATAATTACCAATACTATTTTGGGGGATTCCTTCTTATAAGTACAGTATAGTGGTCCCCAAAGCCCTGTTCCAATTATTAACGCCCCTATATTACAAGAATTATAATACCCTTTATTATAACCCCTTTAAAGGAACCGTATTCTCCTAGATTATCCTGGAGCTTTCTGAGAGATGAACAGCTTGACTGTCAAGATCTTTGCCACGGGAAAGACGGTGCTCTGCAGAGCCGAATCTTGCGCTTCGGAATCTCGCAGCTTCTGCTTGTCGAAAGAGATCATATAGGGGCCTTAAAAAAAATAGAATAGGGCTTTTGGGTATACTCTACTACAATTCTAGTTAGGAGCCCGCAAAATGGTGCAGATACTTATTACCCTGAACGCTAAGCCCTAAACCCTACATTACCTGGAGGTTTGTACTTTGCTCAGGGGCCCTGGAGGTTTGATTACCCTAAGCTTTAAGCCCTAAACCCTAAACCCTAAACCCTAAACCCTAAACCCTACACCCTAAACCTGGAGGTTTGTACTTTTCGGAGCAGCTCAGGGGCCCTGGAGGCCCATGTGGCAGATGCATGGTCCCGTATGCTGCAGAGGGACCTTTAGGGTTTAGGGTTTAGGGTTTAGGGTTTAGGGTGTGGAGTGTAGGATTCAGGGTTGAGGGTTTAGGGGTTTAGGGTTTTTAGGGTTTAGGGTTTAGGGGTTTAGGGCTCAGGGTTTAGGGTTTAGGGGTTTAGGGCTTAGGGGTTTAAAGTTAAGGGCTTAGGGTTTACTTTCAATGCTGAATTTGGGAGCGAAAAGCTCAGACCTGTCGACAGTCAGGGCTTGAACGAAACCCAGATGTACACAAGAGTGTGCAAAGAAGACCAATGGAAGTATAACGAGATACTTAGGTAAAAAATAAAAATAAATAAGTAAACAAATAATATATATATATATATGCATATGTTGGTCACTAGAGAAAAGAAGAGAGAAGAGCAAAGAGGAATAAAGAGACGCAGAGAGGGAGGCGAAAACCCTAGACCCCAAGCCCTCAACCATGAACCCTACAGCAAGGAGGGTTACTGCATGTTAGGACTGGGTAAGAAGCTAGCTCTAACGCCCGCAATGCTCATGAGAATGGCAAACATCTCAAGTTCTTGTCACGAAACCTAAACCCTGAACCGTTTGAAGGGCAACATGTGGGCATTAGTAGCTGCAAGAGTGAAGGGCTCCATAAGGGCTTAGTCTAAGGGGCTGAAGGCTTAGTGCCTGCACTAGGAGATGCGGGCTTTCACGGGGAAACGAAAACAACTCCAATTGATATAGGGGCCTTGATAATGAGAATAGGGTTTTGGGGTATATTTTACTAGAATTATAATAAGAGAATAGGGTTTTGGGGTATTTCTTTCAAGAAGTATCATAAGGCAACCCAAAATGGCATTGGTAAGTACTTGGACCCCTCTATTCTGAGCCTATCCAGTGCTGGACCCGGGAACCGGACAACTTCCCGGGCTCGCACCTCGTTGGGCGCAGGCTCGGCCTCTGCCGAAGTTAACGGACCAGGACACTTGCACCAAGTAGCAACTAGTTAGGATAAAAATACAAAATGTGTGTACATGCTTGTACCTTAAGTAAGGGATATTAAAATAAACCCAGTTAACCAAGGCACATATAGCGCCCGATATCCTTCAGGTAAGGCTCTAAGGACCAATTAATGCTTAGGTCTTTGCGACTGGCTCGAGGCGATACCATGTCATGTCTATATTGAGCTGCAAAGGTTCTCCTTGCTGCCTCTTGCGTGCTGGTGCATGTGTGCATATGTGTGCATGTGTGTGTGTGTGTGTGTGTGTCTGTGTCTGTGTGCCTGTTTGTGTGTATGTGAACGCGCGCGTGAACTCGTGTGTGTGTGTGTGTGTCTGTGTGTGTGTGCAAGCAGCAGCGCGGGTCACCAATTGG